GATAGATGATTGGTACAGAGATAGATGATAGATAGATATAGATTAGTTGATTGATCATTGGTAGAGATAGATGATAGATAGATAGATTATAGATAGGATAGATAGATAGATAGATAGATAGATAGATAGATAGATAGATAGACAGATAATGATGGTAAATAGATAGACAGCTGGTAGATGGGTGGGTGGGTAGATGGATGGGTGATGATAGTAGATAGAAAGGTGGGTGCACGGGTGCTGATAGATGAAAGTTGTTCATGAATCTTACCTTTATTTTAAGAAAATGCAGATACAGGAGTAGCTAGGACATATCTCTGGCTGTTTGCTCCAGAGTTATACGTAAGTAGTGAGTCTACCTATAGGGGAGGGGTTGACCAATTAGGGGCATCATTCACAAAAAGGTTTGGTTTCAATGATTTTTATAACCCAACTCATGTCATGTTGTGAGCTTTTCAGCTTCTATTCTTAGCTGTCATTCAACAACTCTGTGAGGTGGATTGTACTGAGGGAGACTGACAGGCCCAAGATCACCTAGCGAGCTTTCATGTTTAAGGCGGGACTAGAATTCCCAGTCTCCTGGTGATTGGCCCAAAGTCACTGAGCTGGCTTCCGTGCCTGAGGAGGAACTAGAACTCACAGCTTCCTGGTTTCTAGGCCAGCATATTATCCACTAGATCAAACTGGCCCTCCCCTGCCTAAGGATGATATCTATTATGTCCCATATATCTGGAGGATACCCTGGCCTGAGTAAGACTGTTTTATCTTCCGTCGATAGCTCTAATTTGACTAAAAAAACCCAAATGGAACCAAGCTTCACAATTCACGTCTCCCTTTCCCCTTTGCTTTTATTGTAGGGCGAAAAAGTAAACTATGAAAAATTCAGATCCTGGCTGTTGCAGAACAAAGAAGCGTTCACATTTTCCCGCTGGCTCCTCTCCGGAGGCGTGTATGTCACGCTCACAGATGACAGTGACACTCCCACCTTCTATCAGACTCTGGCTGGAGTCACACACTGTAAGTAGCTATCTTGTGTAAGAACTGATGGCTTTGGTTTTTTTTTTTTTTGGACCACTGAGCCAAACAAGCCTCAATTAATGAATGTGCGGTTCCTCTTTGAGATTGTTCAAGGATCAGCCTTCTTGGGGGCAAAAATGGATGCTTTCTCTGTGGTTATTCTGCCCTGTTCCCTAGGACCTTTTGTGCTTGTCTGCCTGTAAAGCAGGGGTCCCCAACCACCGGTCCCAGGACCGGTACCGGTCCGTGGAACAATTTCTACTGCGCCGCCGGTTTGCTGGGCGCTGCCATCTTGTTTGATGAGAAAGTGCTTCCGGGTGAGCTTTTCCGGGTAGAAAGCGGCGTTTGGGTCCTGAAGGAATCCTCGCACCTTAGTTTCATTGAAGGGTGGGGGCGGCTTCGAACAAAACTAAGGCGAGAGGATTCTTTCAGCAGGCATGGCAAGGCGAGCCGAGTGACCGTCCCAAAGCCGTCGCGAAGACCATCGACACAGGTACAAAGGAGGAGTTGAAGGTGGCGGGGAGAAGCGGGGGACGGCTGGCTGGCCAGTCGCTCGGCTCGCCTTGCCATGCATGCTGATGCCGGTACCGGGCCGCGGATGATTTTGTGATGCCGGTACCGGGCCGCGGCACAAAAAAGGTTGGGGACCACTGCTGTAAAGCATGTGCCTTTAACATTCTGGAGTTACAGGTTTAGCTCAGTGGTGGGAGTCAATTTTTTTTAGTACCAGTTCTGTGGGTGTGGCTTGGTGGATGTGGCTTGGCTTGGTGGGCGTGCCTTGGTGGGCGTGGCAGGGGAAGGTTACTGCAAAATCCCCCTTCCCTCCCCACCCCACTAACCTGCTTTCCAGCTCCGTTCTCCTGTGCAGGGCAACCAAAGAAGACCCAGCCAATCAGCTGGGACTCAATGGGAGGTGGAGAATAGAGTGGGTCGGTGGGGCCAGTCAGAGGTGGGATTGGCCGGTTCTCCGTACTACTCAAAATTCCTACTCCCGGTTCTCCAGAACTGGTCAAAGCCAGTTGAATACCACCTCTGGTTTCGCTACATGTGCAACTAGCTATGATCAAGAAGCAATGAATGGAAGCTAATGGAGAAAAGAAACAGCCTAGAAATCAGAAGAAAATTCCTGAGATTTGGAACAATTTATCAGTGGAACAGCTTCCCCGCCAGTAGTAGTGAGTGCGCCATCACTGAGGCTTTCAAGAAGAGATAGAGAGCCATTTGTCTGAAATGAATATAGGGCAGGGGGTCCCCAACATCTGGGCCACAATCCACTACCAGGCCGTGGCTTATTTGGAATTGGACTGTGTGAGTCAGCTGGCCAAAAGCACGTGCGGCTCAATTTGTCTGAGCGGCTTGCCGAGTTGTGTGCATGTGTGTCGGCCCACCACCCCTGCAAGGGCTCTGCGTGCGCACCAGCCCCACACTGCTCGCGAGGCCCAGTTCCCCTCTCGCCCCTCAGTTGGATTGCCGAGGCGCAAACGTTGAAGACTCCTGGGATGAGGATCTCCAGCCTGAGCTGGGGGTTGGACTAGAAGACCTCCAAGGTCCCCTTCCAACTCTTACTATTCTGTAAGTCTGTAACTTGTTCATAATACCTCGGTTTGGTGGAAGAAAAGGCATTGATTTCCTATGGCCTTTTGGAGTCGTGATTTGTGCTGCACCACAGCTGTGGTTGTGAAGCAAGGGGCCCATCACAACTTGCGAACCGAATGTGGTTGTGAATCCACGTTGGATTGTCACCCCCGTGTCCTTGCTTTTTTTCTCTGCAGCATTTCCTCGCTGTGATCAATGATAGTGGGTGGCATCCTTGGGTGCTCAGCAGGTAGAATTATTCATTCACGTCTTTTGTTTATATCCTGTTTGCCTACGAGGGCCCCAAGCGAATGTATTTGATTTCTCTCTTTTCTTTCACCAATGCACCAACCTGGGTATGGTCGGGCAAGAATTAATTAAGGAACTAATCGTGCCAGTAGAGGCTGTCCTTAACTTACGGCTGTTTGTTTTGTGACCCTTCAAAGTGACAGTGACATTGAAAAAAAGGGGCTGGTTTTCAAAAATAGACTGACTGGTTGATATAAGGGACGATATAACATTTCCTGCCATGAGCAGGGAGGTTGGAATAGAAGACCTCTAAGGTCCCTTCCAGCCCTACGTCCCAAAGATGCTTTTTCAAGAGGCAACTGGACTTTCTAGTTTTTCTCTGGAGATGTTTTGCTGTCTCATCCAAGAAGCTTCTTCAGCTCTTGACTTGGACGGTGAGGAATGGAATTCAGATCCTGTCAGAGCTGAAGAAGCTTCTTGGGTGAGAAAGCGAAACATCTTCAAAGAAAAAAACAAGAAAATCTGGTTGCCTCTTGAAAAAAAGGCACCTTTGGGACAATCATGATCTGGATGAGTGAGAATCTCCCGAGACTTCCGGCTCCAAGATCCTATATTCTGTGTTTTACGTTGACCACCCCAGCCCAGCAAACAAAGAAATGATTAAAACACCCCCTCCCTCAAATATTGTTCCCCTCCCTCTTTGTGATTGGTGGAAAGCTGTTAAGGGACTGCCGTTTAGTGTATTGCCTCTTTCTTTTTCACAGCCTCAAAAGTCAAGCTTCCGGGGTTAGGTGCTTATCTGCCTGCAAATTGGAGGCTTAAGACAGCATTAAGAAGCCATGGGCCCTCCATTCCTTATCCTGTTTGTGTGGTGCTTATCTCTATTATTGTACTCCTGATTTCCCTCAGGGGGGAGGATGATAAAAATGTCGCTTTGCTCCACCTGGCACTCGAAACTGCACTGGAACAGAAAATTGGAATAATCCGAGATATCGGGGGATAGGGAGCATGAAATTAATCAAGCTAGTCCGAAGCAGGAAATCACACGAGTGCAAACCTAGTAACGGGATTCCCAGAGGAGGCCAGGAAAAGAACTGTTAGGACACAACATCTGCCAGGTGTGCAACAGATTTAAGAGAATCCTCCCAACCCTGGAAAAATGGGCTGTGGAAAATTTGGGTTAGTGTTAGTTTTTTGGGGTTTTCTCATTTCCTGTTGATGGAAAACCTGCAGTTGTTCGAAACACACAGTGAAGTACATCTGTTAAAACAAGCTCCTCTAGAATTGAAAACAATTAACCCCTTGTAATAGAATACAATAGAATTCTTTTATTGGCCAAGCGTGGTTGGACACCCAAAGAATTTGTCTTGGTGCAAATGCTCTCAGTGCACATAAAAGAAAAGAGACATTCGTCAAGAATCATCAGGTACAACACTTAATGATAGTCACAGGGTACAATAAGCAATCAAGTCACACTAGGAAATAGTAAAAATCGTAAGGATACAAGCGACAAGGTTACAGTCCTACAGTCACAAGTGGGAGGGGATGGGTGATAAGGAGTGATGAGAAGGTTAACAGTAATAGTAGTGCAGACTTTGTAATAGTTGAACAGTGTTGAGGGAATTATTTGTTTAGCAGTGGGATGGCGTTGGGGAAAAAACTGTCCTTGTGTCTTATTGTTCTGGTGTGCAGGGCTCTGTAGTGTCGTTTTGAGGGTAGGAGTTGAAACAGTTTATGTCCGGGATGTGAGGGGTCAGTAAATATTTTCACAGGCCTCTTTTTGACCTGTGCAATGTACAGGTCCTCGATTGAAGGCAGGTTGGTAGTAATAATTTAAACAATACACCAAAAGAAGAACGGAGGTAGATGCAGGGCATTTTGTATTGACTCATCAGTACCTACTTTACAGACTTACAGAATAATAGACTTGGAAGGGACCTTAGAGGTCTTCTAGTCCAACCCCCAGCTCAGGCAGGAGACTCTATACCAGGAGTCCTCAACGTTTGCGCCTTGGCCGTCCAGCTGAGGGGTGAGAGGGGATGAGTGGTGGGCTGGTGTGCACACAGAGCCCTTGCGCGAATGGTGGGCCGACACACATGGGTGCTTTGGTTTTGGTATAAACACACTTTAAGAAACAATATTAAGAAACAATATTTTTGGTTTCTTAATGTCTGTTAAGTGAACCTGGTTCCCCATTGAGTTTGCCTAACAGAAGGTCACAAAAGGCGTTCAGTTAAGACAGGTAGTCCTCGACTTACAACCACAACTGACCCTCAACATTTCCACTGTTAAGCAAGACAGTTGTTCAGGGAGACTTGCCCCTTTTTAAGACCTTTCGTGCCACCGTTGTTAAGTGAACCGTTGCAGTTAAGTTAGTATCACGGTTGTTAAATGAATGTCAACTCATAAAACATTTTGTATACACGTTTTATAGTTGTCAACAGAAAGAAGGGGGGTGTTTCAAAGAGACACTACTGTTAAGGCAGCAGTGTGGAATCGAAAGTACATTCCATTCATATTTTCTTCAGAGACTGATTAGATGGCTGAAGCTTCTGCTGGGCAAAAATCTAATTAGAGAGCATGATTGATTACTCTGGGCTATGGACGTGTTTCGTTGGATGATACACCCAGAGGGATGGGGAGCGGGGGGGGCGGAATCAGGATCAAGGGTAACAGTGAATTATGTATCTCAGAGTTGGCTACGCCCAAATGTTAACTTCTAATAAATTCTTTTTAGTTTTGGGAGTGTGGCTCAAGGCTCATGATTTAATTGGAGTAACTGCCGGAATCCTGACAGTGGATTTGGCTTCTCCGTGGATTTTGCTTGTCAGAAGGTTGCAAAAGGTGATCACGTGACCCTATGAACTGCAACCTTTTTTCCCCCAAAATAAGACCTAGCATGTTTTACTTGTGCCTCTAATATAAGCCCTATCCCCAAAATAAGCCCCACTTAAGAGCCTGCACAGCCAGCTAGCCGCATTTCATTCGGTTGCTCACGGTGCCACGACCACGAGGTGATGTGGTAACATAAGTCACTTTTTCCATTGCTGTTGTAACTTTGAATGGCCACTAAACGAACTACTGTAAGTCAAGGATTACCCGTAGAGTGGCAACCAAGGGGCACCACGGACCTTTTTCTAGAAACATTTCGGAGGATGTGATTTAGAATTATAGGG